ACAAGTTCTATGAACCCGATGACAAGTTGGATGAATCATTATCAATCTGATGACAAGTTCTATCAATCCGATGGCAGATTCTTTGCATCTGATGGCACATTCTATGAATCCGATAACAAGTTCTATGAACCTGATGGCCAGCAGTATGGCCCACACCCCGATCTGATGGCTCGGGCACAGTCACAAAACCCTGCATGCACCGTGAAAAACGGCTCTAAAAACCGATTTACAAAGGGATTTAACATCTGTACTCCGCACCCAGATTTCAGTGCAAGGAGGGCGGAGTTGAATAACATAGAAGCAATGGCCTCCACCCTAGTAGCGATGGTCTAGTAACGGCCTAGTATTGGTGATGGCCTCCAATCCAACAGCGGTGGCCTCCAACCTAATAGCAATGGCCAGGTCCCGGAGTTGAATACTGTCTGTATACTCGGTGTGTGTTCTCTGTCATCCACAGGAGGAGACATCCCAAGGGGTGAAGAGGATTGCATTCTAAGAATGTTTTATGTTGCTTTTCTTTGTCCCAAAGATTCAGCAACCATGCACATTTTGCACGCACGAACCAGAACAGGCTTCGTGGCAGCAAAAAATCATTCACAAGGAGCCAAGACCGGACAACCTCACATGTAAAGCCCGCATGTTAACCCTTCTGTTGCTGTCTCTTGAATAATGCATGCTAAACAAGAAGAAGAAGGAGACGAAGACGCTGAAGCCCGTAAAGCATGGGGTGGTTCCTAGTCGTTGGTGCTTTGAGTGCGGATTTCACAATTGCTTCTTCCAAGATAGTCAGATGTTAGTGATCTGAATGTTGGTGACTTGGTGTATGCTATTGTTTGTGGTCGTGAGTTGCATTCAGTTGGTGGTAGGTGTCTTGGTGACCTGATTTCCGGTACGAGTGCGGTGATAGACTTGATGTGAGTTCTGGACGGTGAAAGGGTGAACTGTTGGATGGCGCCACCATTTCTGGATGGCCCCTGCGACCTCCAAGACGTAATTTCGCCAAGCCAATCGCACGCACACATCACTCATGAAATCACAAACACTGGGATCTTTCACAATAAAGGACGCTATTAGGTGGAGGCCATCGCTACTAGCAACAAGAAGCTACAAGTAGCAAAGGGCATTGCTACTATGAGCAAGGACGCTACTAGGGGCTCCTGGCATCGCTACTAGAAACAAGAAGCTACTAGTAACTCTATATCATCAACCCACCTCTCAGGAGCACTCAAATCACTAACGCTCATCGCTGTCCCCTCGGCGCTGGCCTTAGAGCCAGTCGAAAAGCTCTTTTGCTGTTGACGTTGCTGTGTGTGGCCATGATCAAGTGTAGTATCTGTTCTTATCAGTGTGACAACTGGTGTGTCTCCAACTGGGGGCTTGCTTGTCACATCAATTTTTGTTGGGGAGGTGTCTTCCTGAGCTTGCTTGGGGGCCTTCACGTGTTGCGCTGGCATGGCACTGGCTGCCTGCCTGCCTGTGCGCAGCTTTGTATCATCTCTTTGGACGTTTGGTCCTGATGACGCTGTGCCATTGGTGAGTTGGAAGGCATGCATGCACACGCGGGCATGGCGAACTCCAAAGAGTAACAAGCCTCGCTGTGCTTCAGAACAACCATTCAAAAAGAATTTCTGAGTCACATTGGACGGGACATACAAGTCTGCATCACAAAGGAAAGCTCTGTGCAGCACACAGCACTGCAAACGCACAAAACATGTCTGTAAAAGGGCTCTGCTGACGTGCAACCTTCTCCCACAAGAACTTCTGACGTGAGCCTAAGCTGCAAAATGCCACCTGATGAAGTTATAGACACTGGGAACTGCAGCCTTTAAGCTAGCAATGCAAAAGCATCGAGATTAGTACGGAAACAGCTTTACTGGGGTAGCCAAAAGAGTCTTTGATCTTCAAACACAAAGCTTCCATGCGCCTCGGGTCTCTTCACGTCTGTTTGCTCTTGTATTCAAGAACCCTTGTTGCAGCAAAGAAACTGCTGCTGCTTTGTTCGCTGTCACTGCCAGGTTCTTGCCTAAGGCAGCCTGCAAGGCTTCGACAAAATGAAAGGAAAAGTTGAAACTTGCATTTGGGCAACTTTTTCACACCGTGTCCTGGCAATGCAGCCATGCCATTGCTAACTTCGACCAAAGCAAAAACGTGCCGCAGTCGCACCGACTTGGCAGTTTGGAACTGACAAACAAAGTACTGAAAAGATTATCTGATTTCTTAAAATGTCGCCTGTGCATGGACAAGTACTGACATTGCAAACATCGATCTGATCAGAAGTCGATTGAAAAAGAATGTGCCTGCGCACTCTGCGAGGACCCGAATCAAATGTCTTGCTAGGGCCAAGACCAACAAGCACGACAAAGGTAGCCAAAACATATAGCAATGCTCTTGGCAAGTGTTATGCCAATAGGCCAATAGGCTGTGGACAGCATCGTCTATGATCGAGTTCCAACCATATTATTCAAGCTGGATTGTCGTCATTGAGGCCTCCAAATCAGGACTTTCAGACACTCAATCAAATTCTTTTGTCTGTGTTCTCGCTGCGCTTCGTCTTCCGCTGGTATGCAGAAACTGCTTCGGACACGGCGATATGATTCCAATGTCTCAGGCCTATTGTTATCATAAATCGCACCCGCTCATGGTTCATTTTGAAGTAAATTTTAAGCCAGTCATCCCAAGGGACACACCCCGGAAACCCCGGTATACAAGCTTGCAAGGTCCCCGGTCACCACGACAAGTCTAGATGAATACATACCAACTTATGAGTAACTAATGCATGAATGCTGTGAAACTGGGGCACCTGAGGCTGCACTTCACACTCACTTTACGATGCCACCTGTCGCAGAAACGGGTTGGCTTACTTGTCTTGTGTGAATTGATTTCAGCCTGCCTGCAGTTTCGATAACTTCGACATTTGGAATCAACGCTATCCTCAGCTCCCAGCTCCCCCTTTGCTAAGAACTGTTCTACACATCCAGGCTGGTGAAGACACTGAGATACCCACCAGTCTCCGGAGGAATTTGGCAGAAGGCCCATCCCAGCCATGTGGTACCTGCTCCCACGACTCATCTGACACATATATGGTATCCGTTGAAGAAGGCTGACTCTGTCATCCAGGAGTTTTGGCGCACAAAAGGTAGGCCAAAGACACCGAACACAGCGCCAGGTAGGCAAGCCACTGCAGAAGTGAAAAAGGTACAGCTGTGCTGCCAAAAAGTCGGAATCTCGGAAACTCTAGAGATGTCTTTTTTAGAGTTTCAGAGTCAAGCTGGAAAAAGACAAAACGCTGGGACATTCGCCTGCAAGGTTGTGTCAATAGTCTTGAAGTTCTGGAAAGCTGCGTTTGCTTTGGCGAATTGACCAACTATTGATGTGAGGCAGTACCTCCGACATGGAAGTGCTTCTGGTAGCAACAAACTTACAACAAGTTTGACACAAACCAAGAGGTCAAATGTGCAGCACTAAGAGTTTGGCCCTAGGATCATAATCGTGAAAATGCCTGGAGAAGACCTGGCAAGATTATGGCCACCTCTCGCCAGTTTGGAAACTCAATCACAAACACGCACTTATGCAGGCACAACCTTTGCAAATGAGACAAATCTGCATGGAACCCGCTCATCCAGAGGAAGAAGAAGTTCATCCCAACCTCTCCGCCATGAAGCTCTGGTTTTCGGTTTCCGGACTCCAAAATCGTTCGCATGAGGCTTGGACTGATTGAATCGGAGCCACAGCAACTTCCCATGCCTTTTTCTCCAACAGTTCCTGAGAAAGACCGCTATACAAACTATAGCAACCTATGCTGTTGATGTATAGGAGTTGATTGTTGTGTTAATTTGTGTCCCAGCTCCTGATTGGCAGTTTTTGATTTGTTCTTGCCAGCAGCGTTACCATCATCCTGCACACTGTGACTGTCAACGACTAATGACAAAGCATCGCTTGCTTCAAGCAAGTTGGCACAAAGCAGCTCCATCGTCAACCGATAGCCAATCGGATCTTGGATTGCACCATCAACCTTGCAAATCCAGCAAGTCCCTTCCAACAGCCGCTCACCAAGTGGTCATATGAGCTCTCGGCCGATTTGGAACCCGCTGTGTCCAAGCTGCTGAAGTCCCATCTGGTCCAAGAAACCTGGCAGCAGAATTTGTAAGAAAACCAATGCCCAAACCGAACCCCAAATCGCCTCCGTCATGCTTTGGCCACTCTGGGCCACTCAGCTTTGCTCTGAAAACGTTGCGGGGAACAGGAATCTGCTTATATACAAAGCCTAAGGGTTGTCAAACACCATAGAACTTCACTTTGCAATTCTTGTCACTTCTTTACAAGTCTCGCCTTAGTGTTCTTCCATCTCTCAACAATGTTGAAAGCTTCATTTGCAGCAGTAGGTTTGACACATTGTAATTCGGGGATTGACATTGAAATGCTTGCGCAGCCCAGTCACGTCGTGACACAGTATTTGATGAAGTGCGAAGCAAAGGCCATCATTTCAACCAAGAATTGAGCAGTATGGCAACATAGACCCTTGTGCCCCTTTTCCAGACAGCAATGTGTCTTTGTTGCATAGAAACCAAACAATTCCGTTTTTGTGCATTTTGCACTAAAGGCTCGTCACTTGAGGCTGTGCACGCTGCCGATCACACCCAACCCTATGCCCAACGGCCTCAGAAATCAAGCATTGCATGGACAAAGTTCAAACGCATTCAAATGCCATGCACTGAGGCATAAGCAGCAAGAAAATTTGCATTGCTCGCGCAGTCCACCCACCAAATCCCTCCACTCAAGTGCTGTTTGAATATCTTGCAGGCCTCAATTCAATCGTGCCTTTGGACGTGGGGCCAAATTGCGACGTTGAGCTCCCAGGATCATGAGGGCAGGGGCAACCTCAGCAAGCAGCATTCAATTGGAGCACTTGTTCTCAATCCCGAACCCAAATGTGTTTTCTGCATGTCCCATCATTTTGCATACTAGGTGGACACTTTAGGTCCAGCATTGATATCCCAAACCCTCTACCTGATGCCTTCACCATTCGCTGCATTTCCATTGAATTGTTGCACGTGCATCCTGCTAAATGTCGTTCACGCGGCTGCTAGCAGAAGCACTTTGATATTCCTGAGGTTCGAGCATACACTAGAAAGGTACCCAAGCTGGCGCCTGCAAGCCTAAGGACGCAAGGCTATTTCTCCAACCATGTCGACTTTGAATGTCCAGACTCAATTGCATGGTACACAACATTATTGACCACAATAAACCTGGCTGAACAATCAAGAAGGCTATATACTGCTAAACCAAACCACTTCCAACTGGGGCAGAAAGCAAAAACCAGATTCCAAGAAAAAACAGTGTTCATCCTTCTTTGTTTCAGCAAATGCCGTCCCACATTGTGGTGGGCTGCGTATGTGTAAATGCTCACACTGGTGTAGATGCATGGCCCTAAAATACCACGGAGTGCAAACGTGTCAGTGTTTTAAGTGTGAAGCGTGCAGAACACCGAGCACCCACGAAACCACATGCCAACATCAGCAGGTGAGGAATCGTGCTACCACTGTACAACAGAACTCTGCTTCCTCCTTCTGGCTTGAGAACATCGCTGCACAAAGCATCTGGAAAATGCAAAAGGTAAGAAAGGGTGCACTCATCGGTGTCAACAACATCAAGGCACACGCACAATGAAAGACCTCTTCAGCCCAAACACTGAATAGATTCCTATTGGGCCAGACTGTTGGCAAGCGCTAGGATACAACCTTCGGTGCTATGCGATGCGGACCACAAGCCCAAATGAATTGCAAACGGCACTGGGCATCGCTGGTGATTTGATCTTTCTCAAAGGAATAGAGTAGACAGCAGACATTCCGCTCGCAACAGCGAATCAAGAACGTCTGAAAGAAATTGTTCTGTGTCTTTTTGGGGGGTAGACCAATAAAACAAGGTGAGCCCGCGGACCCAAAAGCAAAAAGAAGCGCACAACCCAGGAAAAATAAACAAACACAAATTAGCAGGCCAAAACGAAGCATCAGCCCCCTCCAGGCTTCGTGGCAACTATGATATTTCAAGCATCGCGGTTCTGGTGCAACACAGCTCCACTCACCTCCCAACGGGCTTCCGCGAAGCATGGAGCAGCACTACCCCACCCATGCTTCGTTCTACTCGTGCACTGACCCGAGCAGCCTGCAATGATGCTGGTGGTGCAACCATGTGCTCGACGCAACAATCCTGCCGCTTCAGCCACGACTTGACCGTCTGTCGCGTGCATTGCGCACTTTTTGGACACCCAAGACCATCGTATAAGCCCCGCAGCTCCACTCACCTCCCAACGTGCTTCCGCGAAGCATGGAGCAGCACTACCCCCACCCATGCTTCGTTCTACTTGCGCACTGACCCGGAGCAGCCTGCAATGATGCTTGTGGTGCAACCATGTCCTCGTAACTAGCATATCAGCCGCGCAAGCGTCCACACCCATGCACTCCCCAGCCCCGTCCACACCCAAGCCACGCCGTCTCACTCCCTCCATCTTCCCTCCCCAGCCCCGTCCACACCCATGCCATCACCTGTATTCTGTATTCGGCCTCAGGTCAAAAATCATCACCTCGTCAAATTCTCTTGCATCTTGTGAAACTTCCTCCTCCACAAACTCAATGCGCTTGATGCCAGGATGCTTCGTAGTTGTTGCCTGGCTTGTTGTTGTCACCGTGGTGGCACTTTTTAGTTGGTGAGCCTTGGCTTTCCACCACCTGTCTCACCTTCCTCCAACAATCTCGGGCTAGATGGCCTGGTTTGCCACATACGAAGCACTCCTTCACAGCTTGTAAGGACTTTCCAGAGCCCTTGCTGCTCTCTTGCTTCCACTTCTGTTGCCCTTCTGTTGACCTTTGCCACCACCTCCACGGTCTTGGCACTTCAGTTGGCCTTTGCCCTTGCCTCCTCGCTTGCCGCCTTTCTGTTCGCTTGCCTTTTCCCTTCGGGTTTTCCTTGCCCGTGCCTTTACCGGCTTTCCTTTCTCCATGATCCTGTCTGCACCATCCTTGTTCACCTCCTGGCCCAGCATCATGGCGTTGTTCCACTTCAGCGTGGCACTGTCATACTGTATGATGGCTTCTCTCAGTCTACTGTAGTCCTGGGTCTCGGCCACACTCAGCTGTAGCCAGGTCGTCGAGCTTCATGCCTGTTCGCTCGTATTCCCCAAAGCCCTCTTCGAGTTTGAGCAACTGATTGAGCAGGTTGCCCTTCTTGCCATCAAAGGCACTCCACTCCAGAACCATGGTCAGTAGGCCTAGCGACCGGTTTTTGCTTGCTGGTTCAAGGCAGTTGGTCAACAATCTATAAGCCTCCAGCCCGTAGGCCTGTTTCACCTGTTTGATCAAAGCCAATGGCCTTTGCCTCACCAAGGACGCCAGGATGGAGCAGAGACGGTTGCTCCTCTGCTTCTCTCGATCACCCCATAAGGAAGGGTCCACTGGCCTTTCAGGGCGTTCCCGAAGATCCTTGAAGTCATTGACAAACTCTCCATCCATGGCAGCAAGATATTGCTAACTGAAGTCTCGCCAGAGACTGAGCTCTTCTTCTCTTGAACTTGGGTTGAACCCACTGGGTTTCGGTAGCGTCTTGAACCATGATGGTTCGCTCCCTTGCCTTCCCTGCTGCTGGCTTTGGAGCACTTGAGCTGCCACCTGAGCCGCAGCACTTGCGGCTTCTGTAGCCTGCATCATTCTCCCGGCGACCTCAGCGCCATCCAGAACCGCTTGGGCTGGTACCCCCTCTTGTCCAGCCATCGTAGAGCTCGATGTACCTACAGTCCAGGATGTCCAGCTCGAGGCCCAAAAAGGTGCAAGCAAGCGCCCTCGTTCTCTTCCAAGCAACCTACCTAGAGGGAGCCTCTGGCAGTGATTGCCAATCTCCTTCTCCAAGATCCCTCTAGCTCTGATTGCCAGCCGCTATGGCCTCAGGCACCTCGAGGCAAAGATCCAGGTGAAGCTCGGCCCTCCAGCCTCACACCAGACCTTCAAGTGCGGTGATCCTCGGCTCCGCTACCACGCGGATCTTGTGGTACTGCAAAGGGGTCTGCGGTACACTTGATTTGTGCGTGTCATCATGAACACCTGTACGTGGTTGGGTTGCTTCACAAAACCCCAATTGTATCTGGGAGAAAGCGGCAGAGAAACGGCGCAAACAAAGAGTATAATTGGCGGGGTCAACATCTGTCCACACCTTGTTCCATGTTTCTCTGCCTTTTTCCTGCTTCTTTTTGCCTTTGCACTCTTCCGTCCTTTTGCCTCTTTTTCTTCGCTTTCGCGTTGCTGAGAACCCTTTTTTGTTCTTTTAGATTTGCCTTTTGCCTTCTTCACCTCCTTATTACCTCTAACCAACGCGAGAACTTATCCACAAACCAACTTCTGCAGCTTTCAGAACCTTGGTTCAAAGTTCAAACACTTGAAGTTGAACTGCTTCTTTGGGAGGATGGAAGATTTAAGGTCTCAACAGGAACCAGCATGGGATCCTAGATAACCTAGAACACTTTGTGCCACAGCGGATTGTAGGGTCAAAGTGCGGATGCTTGCGACCAGTTATATACTATGTACTCATGAACTGAATGGCATGGAGCGTGGAAACCAAAAGAAAGGAAAGGCCGGACAGGTGGGCCCAGCCGCTAGAACTATATACGACTTCTGAGCTGACTGAGCGTGCGCCGTGCAAGTTTGAAAGCAGTGTGTAGGCATGTCTTGCAGGGTGGATTGACGGCCTCAACGTAGGCACCTTGAAGCTCAGGCAAGTTTGTGGAAAAGAGGCCACATGTTTTGACGGAGAACGGTCGAGTAGGAGCAGCACACCACGCCCTGGCGGTTTCTTAATTGGTAGCGGAGCCCCCGTCACCACGACAGGGGCATCTGGGCTTTCCAGTCTAGGTAGGGCTAGGACAGGAAAGCAGTGTGTAGCGCCATGGCTGGTTCCACCAAAGGCTATGGCCAGAAGAGAGCGAAGATCCACAAAGGACTTTCAGGCCACCCAGAGGGCACCATTTGTGTTTTGTTTGCTCGACGGAGTTGGTCTGGAAGCTGTCGAACACCTTTCCTTGGATCAGCTGAAGGAGGGCAATGGCGACAAACACATTTGGGCCGTTCTTGTGAGCGAATTCCAGACAAGTTGACTCACGATTGGCTTTCTGAGTGCCTCCCAAAATTTTTCGGTTGGAAATGAAAGACGGCGAGAGCATGGTCACCAGGACGGCCAGAGC